AAATAAATAAATAAATTTATTACGAAAAATATTTTGTAAAGTATGTATGATGAAATATTACTTATTAAATATGAAATGAATATTATATATATTTATAACAATAATTGGAAGGCATTAATATTTACACATCACAAATATCTTTATAAAAGAGTGGGACAAACATTTTTATAAAATATTCTTCTTTTTAAGTAAATTATTTGCTAATCAAAACACAAGTATCGTGACGAATAAATTATTCCTAGACTTATAAATGAATATTTTTTTTTGAAAGCTGAAAGCTTATTGTTTTCATTGAATTGAATGATTAAATTCGTTCTTCTCTTTCCTTCTCTCAGCATTGCCGACCGTTCCGCGACGGCCACCTATTTCTCTCTTTTTTATGCAAGATTTCACTGCGAGAGGAGAGACGAAGCCGACGACGTGTCCCCTCGACAGCTGCCAGCGACGTAAGATCCGGTTCACACGACTCTCCCCTTTTTTTCAGCGAAGTTTTATTAAAAACTTTTGAAAAAACCATCGAAATAGTAAAGAATATTAACTTTTGCTAAAATAGTTATCTCGGCGAAGAAATGATATCGATATTCTCATGTTAAAAAGTTTCGCTTCCTTCTTCCCTTTGTTCCAGAGAAAGAATCAGATGGATGGGTTAACGGTAAGTAAAAATGAAATAAGTAAAGTAAATAAAAGTAAAAATAAAAGTAAAAATAAATACAAAAATCAGAGTAGAAATATAAATAAAACCAAAAGTAAAAGGAGTAAGAATAAAAGTAGAAATAAAAGTAAAAATAAAAGTAAAAATGTAAATAAAAATAAAAGTGGAAAGAGTAAAAATAAAAGCAAAAATGTAAATAAAAACAAAAATGAATAGAGTACAAATAAAAGTAAAGATGAAAGTAGAAATAAATGTAAAAATACGTTTAGTAAAATAAGGTAAAAATAACGTGAAATAGGAATAAAGGAATGTTAAAAATAATTTAATACCTGAAAATTCGATTTGTTCTAAGTTCTGAAGGGCTCTGAAGCGTTAAGGATTTCCTCGGTCTCGCCGACAGATCTCTCCGCACTCGTTTTCTTTCCAAAAACGTCACCAGGGTACCAGCTGTCTGACAAAAGTAACGCCCGTCACGATACTGTAACGAGTTCGGTTCTCTATTAAAACCGGAGGCTCGATTTTGTCACCTCTCCCCTACTAACGTTCGCAGTCCTCGACATCTGCGGTGTTAAATGATTTCATGCTCGCTTCTTTCTAAATGATTATTCATTTTCGTTTTAAAAATGGTTCAGAACCTCACAGAATGGGAAAAACGAAATTTCTTCTTTAGTTACACTACTACTAAACGAAGAAGAAGTAAAGGAATACTGTAATAAAAACTGGTGTCACTAATTAACGAGAAAATAGGGGAAATGTCTTTGAAATTGAAGAAAGAGATATAATTAAACGAAGAAACAATATTTCTTCTAAAAAATGGTGTTTGTTTTTAAGGAAGAAACATAAAGAATAAATAATGGAAACGATTTCTAGAATACTAACTTTAGCATTATTAATTCTTTATATTTCTTGCCTGAAAACAATTTAAAGTTCGATAACTAATACTGATATAATAATAATTGATAATAAAAACAATTTTTAAAATATTAATTGTAGTATTATTACTTCGTATTTCTTCTCTGAAAATAATTTAGTATTCATTGACCTAATATTATTCTTTAGAATAAATGGAACTTTTTCTTTTAATTTTAATTAATCTAGATAGATGGCTTTCAGCAAAAATGTTTTCACGTAGTAGATAAAGGGTCATTTGTATGAGGAGGGGGAAGAAGAAAAACTAACCAGTCCTCTTGTCGATATCTTCTTCTCCTCGAGTCGCGGATGATTCCTATTTCCGACTCTACTCGACTATTTGCGCATATAAATATTTTACGAGGGCCAAGAAAAAACTCTATTTTCGTACGGGGAACCCTATCGCATCGTTCATAAAGAAAGATTTACGGCGAACGGAAGACGATTATTATTCCCAGTCAGTTTCCTCTTCTCCTGACCGCAAAACGAAGGTACAAAAATTGACACAAATTTTTCTATTCCGTGATACAAGCTTTAAGAGAGAGAATATTAGATGTTGTTCTCTATTCGAAGCACATTTGATAACCAACAAAAAACTTCATGCATTATACTTAAAATCTTCAAATTCAAGTCCCTTTAGTCTGCATTTGTTTAACATACCTTGAAATCTTAACAATTTGAAGGAAAGAAGTATTTCAAAACTTCAGAGATAAAAATAATATATAGTGAATTATGGTGAAGTATAATGAAATATAATAAACATATTAGATATAGTAAATGTAGTGAAATGTAGAGAGATATAGTCAAATATAGTGAAATCTAGTGAAATATAATAAAATATGGTAAAGTATGGTAAAGTATGGTAAAGTATGGTAAAGTATGGTAAAGTATAGTGAAGTATAGAAAAATGTAGTAAAATATAGTAAAATATAGTAAAATATAGTAAAATATAGTAAAGTATAATAAAGTATAGTAAAATATAAAAACATATTGCACTACAATTACAAATTTGCGAAAAAATTATAGTAAAAATAAAGTACCAAGGGGTACAAAGATTTTACATTCGATAAAACGTTTTTGTTCGAGGATTTTTTGTTGCCCCATCATCAGTATGAAAGGTTCAACTTTCTAAGCGCGAAGATAACCCACCCTTTTCGTTTTGAGGGACAGTGAAAGCCACGGAAGAGGGTTGCGCGCAACCTTCTCCCTCTTGCCCTTATTCCTTTTTCATGAGACCGACGACACGTAGCCACGAAGGGGCGGCGCCTTCGGAAAAGGGCTTCGGTGGCGCAGACGCCCTCGGTTTCACACCGTGCTTCCGGTTAGGGCAGCCCGTGGAATCTCTCAGGGTGTCTAACGCCCCCACGACACGACTCGTAAATTATCCACGGCCCCAAGCTGCGGACGACTCTTCCGAATTTATCTTTTCCCTCAAATCCCTTCTTTCCCAATTATTGGGCTGGTGCATACGAAATCTTTCTTGGATTTTTTATGTTTAAGGAGTTTCAATTAGTGTGGAGATTATTATACGTCGTACAGAATTTCTTCTTTCCAAATGAAACTTGAATCACGATGTAGCTTTCTTTTGGAAAGTAGTATATATATTTGATGGAAATTATTTTCAAGTGATTTGCATAATTTTTGAAAGCAGAGTTTATAATTGTTGACTGTAATTGGTGTTGATTCATTTTATTTCTTTAGTTTCTTTCATTTTTAGTTCTGCTCGTTTGTGCCTTTAGCACGATAAATGAAACTAAGAAGAACAAAATGTAATACAATATTATTATTTCTGCTTTATGGAAACAACGTATCAAAGATTATTATGTGGAAGATTGGAGAATTAAAGTCTCAATTCCGGAGTTTTTCATTTTTGTAAGCACTCTGATCATTTTTTAATCATAAACATTTATGATGGATGACTAGTGGTAGTACGTCTATCACGTGAAACATGTTTTAATATTATTAAGTACCGTTATAATCAATAATAGTACTATTGCATATATAGTTAGTTTTAATCATAGTAGATTTAACGATAGTATTTTAAATGATAGTAGTTTCAATGGTGGTAGCTTTAATAATAGTAGTTTCAGTGATAGTAGTTTTAATGATAATAGTTTCAATGATAGTAGTTTCAATTATAATAGTTTCAATGACAGTAGCTCTAATGATAGTAGTTTCAATAATAGTAGTTTTAATGACAATGGTTTCTATAATAGTAGCTTCAATTATAGTAGTGTCAATGATAGTAGCCTCAATGACAATAGTAATAATTCCAACAATAGTTTCAGTGAGGTTTCTAAAAGCTTAAACCAATTGATCAATTCCTCCTTACCAAACAAAAAAACACTAGAATTCCTACCACACATTACCATCACAGCTTCCACCCACACAAAAATAATCTAACCGATTACATATATAAAATACTCCACTATAATTTCAATATCAACACGGATTACAACGAACAAATAAATTACACTCCACAACATTCTACCACAATAAAGACACAAACGTTTTAGTAACATCGCATCAAGCGTCCAAACAATTCCCCACAGCAGCACGCTTACAGTACTTCTCCCGTTAACAGTTTCGTTCGAGGAAACCGCATTTCGCGAGCATAAACCTAATAGATCCGTTACTTACCGTTCCTCCCTAAGTCAGCCATCACTAGAAATAATTTCTTCGCGGCAACACCTCAAAAATAACACTCGATCCACGTGTTCCGCGGCGGATTGTGGGACGAGGTGGGGCTGGGGGCAGGAAGAAAGGGGGGCAGACGAGCCTCTTCATTAACACATACTTCATCAGCGGGCTGTTAATGAATCACACGTTCGTATATCAGCCACGAAACGACTCACGTGTGTTTTTCCAAGCAGCTGATTTATACGTCGAGGCCATTTTCGGTGTCCAAATAAAAAGGGGTCATCCCCGGCTCCCTTCGAAGGGACCAACCCCTTTCTCCATAGGGTGGGGCGGCCCACCCTTTATCGTCGAACGCTTTTAAGATTCTCTTATTTATCCTGTTCCCCGATGGCGGCGCTTTTGATGCAATTGATTCTTCTCCTTCTTTTTTCCTTCTTTCTCTCT